TCCTGCATCCCTCTCTTCTCCCCTCCCTCAGCTAAAGGGCTTTGGCTCGACCACTGGGGGCAAAGACATTCAACCCAAGTGTGTCCACACACACAAACACACACAGGAAAATATACAAAATATGAAACAATGCCCAGGCAACATGTCATTATTGCAGCCTTTCTTGCACATACACAAATCAAGCGTGAAGCCATGCACATATCGTATGCAAGCATAATTCAAAGTGCTGTCACACACACATGGCGTGGTGCACTCAAAGCGCTCACACACACACACACACGCATCTATGTATGCGTCCCTAATCCACAGCTGGATAAGGGGCCCCATGAGCCCTGGGCAAAATTGATCCCCCATTTACCCGCCCCACGCCCCAGCTCCTCACGCAATTCCAGCCATGTTTCTATCCCCCACTCCCTCTTCCCTTTTATCCATCCATCCATCCTTGACACACCATGCAAACCTCCCTCCTTCCTCTGGGTGGCCTGGAGAGTCCTGATAAAGCCCCGTCCGTCTGGAAGAAATCCACCCGTCCACTGTGCATGTGCAAGCATCCAGTACGAGGAGATACTTGTGAAGAATTCAATTTGTATTTGGTTCTAATGGAAGCTATTTAATTTCAGATGCTATTTCCGATCCTTTTCCTAATAAGAAAGAAAGCCTTAGCATATATTGATGTTGATTTACTCCCTGTAAATGTGTGGGATTTTTGGCCATAAAAAATATAGCACCAAGCTCCATCTCTCAGACTGTGAGCTTAATTCCTGAGGCTGGGGAAACCGTGCCACCGGCTGCTAACAAGCTTACCGTGCCCAATAAAAAATAAAAACCCCATAGTACAGTAAGAGAGGATGAGAGCGAACAGAAGTGAGGAAGAAGAGGAGGGCAGCGGTGATTATGTCATGACGTGGTGTAGGGATCATGGGAGGAGTCGTAGGGGATGGAGAGGCTGGACCAGGAGGGAGAGAAATTACCATCCAAGAATAGTGAAGTGATATGGAGAGCAGGAAAGGATATGATGTGGGAAATGAGGAAGGAAATGGAGGGTGGAGAAAAAAGAGATCGGGATACAGAGGGAGGCAGGAGGTTAAAAAAAGCAGGAAGTAATAAAGTGATGATGAGGTGGCGAGAGAGACAGAGGGTGTGTGTGTGTGTGTGTGTGTGTGTGTGTGTGTGTGTGTTAGCTTTGTGCCAAATCCCTGCTGCAGTTTTTGTAAAGGTCAGTGAGTTTTGATGGTGTAAAGTCTTGGTGTGGAGGCACCCACACATGTACGGACACAAGGTTGAGGTCTGTGCAGGTCTGTGTTAAAACAGCTGCCGACCTGGTTGCACAGGATTTCTGACCATTATTCCTGCATGAGCCGTCCAGTTTCCACGGCGCACGGAGGCTCTGATCAGTCTCACCCACGACAATGTTGCTTTAACAGAAAGTAATGAGAGGAAGACAAAACTCAAACTTAATTTAAATTTTAAATATAATATTTAAGGACACAGGAAACTGTAAGAATGGTTTCTTATATTTTAATTAAAACTTCTTTGGACGGACATTCACGCTGCTCCAACTCATTCGACTCTAAGGTGGAGCTGTCTGTGGAGGCGAGCGGGTTTATGTGGCGTTTAAATTGCAGCTGCTGATCTGAACCATGCTCTGTAAGTCATGTGCGGAAACCAAAAGGTCTTTTCAACCAAAGCGTACATGTGACAACACTGGAAGTAATTCTACACATTTCAACATCAAATACCATTTTTTATATCACGCACACACACACACACACACACACACACACACACACACACACACACACACACACACACACACACACACACACACACACACNACACACACACACACACACACACACACACAGGCAGCACTAAACATCTCACACCAAATGTCAGTCTAAATCCTCCCTGACACAGAAAGTCTTAAAGTCTTCTGAAACCCCTGCAAACACACTCTCCTAACCCCTTGTCCAATCCCTCTGGATGACATGGTTAGAGGGACAGCTCACACTCTAATACCCCATAATAACCACGAATCAACGCCATGGCAACTGCTGACATGACAGACAGACAGTGACGGAGAGATAAAAGGGAGCAAGGTTGAGAGAACCATGGGGACAGGAAAAATAATCACCGCAGGTTTGTCCTTTTTTTCCTGATATAGTGTCCCTAACCTTGGGGTGAGCTAAATCCCTTTGGGCAGGTGGAGTCGGCTGAGCTGCAGCTTGTTAGCCAAGTTAGCGTCAGCTGTTTTATCCTAGATTTCAAACGATGGCCGATAAAGGACTCTGGTTTGAGACGCCACCATGATGACTTGAGATTCAACTATGGCAAAATATTAAAAAAATAACAAGGAAACATATTGTACAGATGTCTGTTCACTGTTTACAAAGGGTGCACTGATGCCATTTTGGATTAACTCCAGGTGAAACACTGATCATCACTGACGGGGAAGAGGAAGAGGAGCTACGTGTTCCAGTGAATTGTGACAAATCAACTGTTAGATAATCTCATTCCATTTGCAAAACAGGCCCCGCCACTGTTTTTGCTCGATTTAGGATTTGCAGTCCGCTTTAGAGGAATCAAAGAAATCAAGTGTTGCATTGAGTTGGAAAGAATTGTGATTATTTTGCAGGGAACTGTATCGTGTTGAATCAAATCATGTTGAATCCCCTTGTATCGCAACTTGGGTGAATCGTATTGCATCGCATTAACAGTCACTTCATGTGTATCTTTATTGCTAAGCCTTTTGTTTTGGTTTTCTATCCAATCCCTGGAATGTATGACTCAGTCTCTCGGTACCAAACCTCCTGTGAAAAGATGTTTCAAGCAAACAAACTGTGTTACTGGTGAAATGAGGAAAGAGTATAGTAAGCCATGATCACTTTTTTCCACTTCTAGTTTGTCTCTACTTCTAAGATTGATTTTGTGGCTCTTCAAATTTTACATAATGCATCTTCAAGTTGAAAAAATGCAGTTTGAGGAATACAAGATCCCTGAGCAGGGTTACGAAAGGATAAAAGCAAAAAAAAAAAAAGCCGTAACGGAGGAGAGTGGTAGCGATGTGCGTCTGTGCCTTCGACCACTCGTTCAGCCTCTGTATTCCAGATGTTGAGACATTACACTTACATAACATTTACAGTTGGTCAAGAAGATCTAGGTCAACAAGGCACATGCAGATTTATTATAAATACTCAACACCAATCTACTTAAATCCGCGCTCTTTGTACAAACAGATGCTCACTCCAGTCACAAAGACCAACTCCAACATAGCAATTAAAAAATTAAAAGCATGGGTGTATTTTGTATTCACACTTCTCCATTTATTATGCAACACATCAATCTGAACTAATTTCCAGTTAATGGCAACAACACACTCTGCCATTCTCTCTTTCTCACAGCTTTTCCATCACCTCCTCATACTTCATTTGCTTCATTATGTGCTCAGTCTTCAGACTCATATTTCTTTCATCACTTTCAAATGAAAGATCTGCAAACAAATTAACAAAGATTTGCACAGTGGGCACGACAGGAAAATGTATGTGTGCGTTTCCATATAAGAGCGCGTTTGTCAGCATTCAAGCCGTAATACAAGTAATGGAAATTGGAATAAAATAATTACTTGAAGTAATACTAACCAAACCAGGCGGGTGTTACGGTTTACTGCCTTTTGGAACCAAGATGGACAATCCATCTATGAGCAGCACTTTCGGTTTGTTGCCCAAAGACACTTTGGCATGCAGGATGGGGGAGACGGGGATCAAACCACCAACTCTCTACTTAGTAGACAACCCGCTCCAACCATTCAACAGTGAAGACACTCGCTTCAGGGGTGTAACCATTAGAGAACAAGCTGTTTTAATCAACTATATCTTATTTTGGTTCCTCTCAACTGTCGGAGTGAACTGTGTCGACCCAGAGCCCTTTAACAGCATTAAGACGAATTCCATCATCAAAACGAGTTGCACACAAAACGATATGTTAACTCCTGCTGTCGACTGCACACACCTGCACGAATAACATCAGTGGTTGTTGGTCCGACTGAAACGTTCGGGCACATACTCTGCACAGTGTTTTCTTTAAGCGCCTGGCTAATGGCCTGCTGCTTCTGCTGATAATAAGATCACCTCCACCGGAGACTTTTGTGCTCTATCGACAGACACGCTGTCAGTGCGAGGAAGAAGTGTGTCTAATGAGTTTGTGCTACTCAGCGTACACATGAATGAAAATCACTCTACAGGATGCACACTTGGATTTAAATGCCATGTGCGACGTGCTGTATGTGGCAGCATGCAGTTTACGAATCTACATATATTACAAGGATATTTAAAGGTCACGGTGTCTTTCTAGTGTACATCAATTTATCACGAAGGGAGTGCACTGTACCTGCAAGTGTGTACATGTCTGTGTGTGTGTGTGTGTGTGTGTGTGTGTGTGTGTGTGTGTGTGTGTGTGTGCAGAACGGACCACCCCGTTGACCTGACTTGGCTCGAAACCAAACCTTTTCACTTTTCAATGAGAAACTACTGGAAAAACTCTCCAGTTACACATCCATTAACAAAATCTACAGCAAAATAGCAGCAATCCTATCACAGGTTTTACCTCTTTTTAATGGAAAAGCAGCAGCAAATTTAGTCAAATCAAGCCTGGAAGTCCATTTGCAAGATACTAATGGACTTCCCTAAAACTTTGCCTGCTTGAGGATACTTAACTTGAAGAACCCATGCAGTGCAAGTTGATTTAAATTTAATTTCTAGCTCACACGTAATGTAGTCTGAATTCTCAAAGCGTTCCACAGACACGCAAGTGTGCTAGTTTGTCGCGATTGAGTGCATCTGCTAAATCATCTTTTTGGAAATGCAAGCGTGACCTCATTCTTGTTCAGCTGTTTCTCTCCTGACTGTGCAGACTTGTACAGTAACTTAACATTTAAAAGGCTCTTTCCTCACGCATGCCTCTCTGCCTGTTTGTGTGTGTTTAAATATCAAACTGTGACTTACCAGGAAGGCTTGTTGACACGTTGACCTGCGTGTAGAACCTCTTGTTGGGCAACAGTTCCGACACTCCATTTAAGGCTTCTACAGTGAAGGTGTAGTTGGTGTTGGGGAGAAGATTGACCACGGTCACCGTTCTTTCCGTCAGGCCGACCTGCTGAGGCACGAAGCCGACGCTCGCCCCGCACGGCTCGCACTGCCTCCCGAGACACCGCCGGCACCCCACGCTGTAGGTCAGATCCAGCCTGCCACCCGTGTCGGAGGGCGCGGCCCACTCCAGGATGAGCGTGGACTGCTTCAAGCTGTAGACCAGATCCCTCGGAGGGGAGGGAGGCCCTGAGAGAAACAAGAAAAAGGAAAATTGTCTTTTCGATTTGTTGTTTCAGTCCATAAATAATTCATGAGTCTTTTCGGAAAGCAAACAAAAGACGAGACACACGGGGAACTAGACTAATATGTATTCCCCTTTTCTTGCAAACCTTTCTCGCAAAACATATCCTTTGCCTCGAGCAATTTCAAATGACAAAATATCTTAAAATTTTATGCCAATACGTATAAGAAACACCACAAAATGAAGGCTGGCCTTATTTAAAAAATAATAAGTATGAAAATGTTTTTATATTATACATTTTCTGGATACACAAAGTCAATTTTTACAATTGTTTTTTTTTTTTTTTACCAGACCTTGTTTATGTCATCCCACGTGTCCACAAAAAGTCTTCTGACACACAACATGTCAGAGTCCACCTGTGTGGCTCAAACACCAAAATGCCGGAGAATGAGATTTTCCCCCTTGACTTCAGAACTAAGCGCTCTTGGTTTTACAGTGTGATGGGTTCAGTTTACACGTCGTAATCTGATAATCCTGTTTTAACCTGGTGTCAGGAAGCAACTGTTTTGATGAGAACCACTTGAGCCTAATGGGAGGAGGCGATTGAGAATGTGGAGTTGTCGCTGTGATGTATAGATTATGTGGAATTATCATGGTTTGGCAGTGATGGTACAAAGAATATTTGCTGGACTGAGATGAAGATGAATGAATTAAATGAATGAATGTTGAATATCCAGTGACTGTATCAGTGTTTTTCAATGAATAGAAACCTCGTCTTCCTGTTAAATCTCCTTTTGTGTGAATATTCTGTGATTTTATTACAAATCTGCCCGTTATGTCAACAGTGATCTGTGGAACAAAGCCTCCACTTAGCATCAGGGACTGAAGGTGTGTTGCCATGGAGAGAGCTTTTAATGCTCCTGGAACATGAATCTGATTTGATGTGAGCGTTGTAATACACCAAACCAGATTGAGCTGAAGACTGTTTACATGTATTTTAAAGGGCTGTATAAAATGTCAGGTTAGAGGCCTGTGTCCTGACTGACCTGTGCCTTTTCCTGCAGGTCCGTGCACACGGCTGCTTAATAGAGCCTGGGTCCATTAAAGGCCATGAATTTTAAATGCGTCCCTGCATGTGTGTGCATGTGCCGTGTGATGAATAAGTGAAGGTGTGCAGCTCTGTGCGCGCTGTAAAACGCATCACACATCACAGTTGCACACCCGACTCCCAGACGCACAGGGTTACGTAAGAAACCCAGAAACTATTCACAGTGTGAACGCACTCAGAAAAGACGTTTGCACACATTGGAGGTAGACACAGCTGGGCCCTTTGTTCACAGCTCCCTCTGCTTTTGTGTTTCCTCGGCCTCGACCTCCCTCGTTACTCTTGAAGTTTCTCTTTGCTAATGTCTCATCTTCAAATCAGAGTGTCTCTAAAAATATTTTCTACCACTCAACTCTGCCGCCCTTCTCTTTATCGTCACTATCATGAAGATACAATTAAATAATGCTTCATTAAGATTACATGAAGAAAAAATATGTGGGTCGGGACAAAATAATCATGTGGCTAAGATTACATGATTACATTATCATGACAGAGAGCCAGGTTAGCTATTTCTGTTTTTTAACTACATGAGGTTGTTCTAGCTGTGATTTATTGTGAGCAATGTGTTGTTTATTCAACTTTTATCCCCCAACCAGAAGCAGCTCTCTTAATTTCGTTTTATCATTTTGTACCATACAATTATAATGAAGGCTTTCTCTTCTTTTTTATAATATGCATGATTGTTTTGCGCTTTAATATTACCTCCAGAGATTTAAGAGTGAAGTTAAAGATAAGAAACCAACTTAATCTAAATTTGCTCTTCTTCTTATTTAAAACTTTTGCCATTAAGGCCTATGAGGAGTCTGCATTTATGTATTTTCCATTACCCAGATGCTAAAAAATCTTCCGCTGCAACTTTACGCCTCCTACTGAAACTCAGGGTATCCAACTGTTTTTCAAAAATCGACTTGCGGAGATATACATTTGAAAAACATTATGCATCGCTCTGAGGTATTTTTTTCATTTTAAGGCTCGTGTCATTGTTCTGTCAGCGGTGGTTCCACTCTGTCAACAGTGAACGCAAGGAAATACTTTCACCGAAGTTTTCCTCCTCACAGCCACCGGGGAATATTTAACTATATGCTGTAATGGAAAATTTGTAAATGGCTGGCAATGAGCTAATGGTAATTATAGGTGTCAGGAAGCATTATCAGATGACTCTCATCTAAAACATGTGGCGGCGTGTTCTTTCATGCGTTTCTTAAAACAATAAAGAGCCTTTTATTCCAAAGAGACAGCAGTAGCTTTTAAATATGGTAAACACACGAGGGTTTAGGGAAATTCTCCGGCATTAATGTCAGAGGAGAAGAATAAAACCACACTGGTATTATTCTTTAATTGCAGGGATAATAAAGTGTGCATATCAAACGCTCCCGTTTTCTTTCATTCCTAAACTGCTAGATTCATCAAGCGCTCCCGTTCTCCAGCTGCACACATGCGGTGGATTAGGCAAATCTGGGGATGATCATAATTACCGAATCAATAGTGTAATTAATGTGGTCATTAGGCTGCTAAAAATGTTATCACACAGGGATCACAGAGCGAAGCGATCAATATTGTAATTAAATCCCTCCAATGCACTTAAGCTAGTATGACCACACACTTACACATATTTAAACACACACACACACACACAAGTGAAGTGTGTGCATACAACCATGCACGGACAGACATAGCGACCTTATGGTTCTGCTGCCCTGAGTACTCCCAGGATATTGAGCCCATTATTCCTCCATCTAATTACTAAGCTAAATCAACAGGCAGTTCTCCATGCAGAAATCGATAGGGCTGCCCTGTACGGTCCTGGTTTCATTGGCCTGGCAGTGCATCTTTATTGGAGAAGAACGGTATTCGGTGCGGGAGAGCTTGTGGGAGACGGCAAGAAGTGTGGGACCAACAGATAATACGTGGGGTCAGCGGGGATGAGATGATATAGTTTGTCACTGGAGGGTAGAGGGATGAGATTTCAGTTTGACAGAAGGAAGAAAGATGATAACTTTGCACGCGTGGAACGGAGGAGAGGACGAAGAGGAAGGCAAATTTGAAAAGGCAGACTGGAGAGAGAAGAGCGATGAGCGGCCGAGTTAAGAAGACAGACCAGAGAGAGAGAGGAGTAAGTGTGCGTTCAGGGGTCAGTGACGAGGAATGGAGAGGTTAAAAGAAGACAGGTTGGTCCGGAGCAAGGAAGCTGGATAATGGATGTAGAGCAGAAAACGGATGAGTGATGTCAGGAGAAAAGGCGGACGAACACGGACAGAATGCACAAGGTTACGCAAAAAGATGGAGAAACTGGGGTGATGAATGCATAATACGGTCATCGTGATGGGAGGAATAAAGGATGGAAGGGTGATAAAAGGTTAAGAGGCAGAGGAAATGGCTGAAGTGGATGGATACATAATGACTGGATGAAACCGAACAAGGTGAAATCGAAGGTTTGAAGAGGTTACAGTTACAATTAGAGGAAAATCCACCTTAAAACATGAAATAATGTGTCTGAGGATATTTGGTTGATGGAGGATCAACTCAAAATTTTTGATCAAACGAGGAATCATGTTTTTAAATCTTAAACATCTTAAATAAGCCAAAAAAAAGTGGCTACGCAATTTGTGTGTAAACTTTTATATCAACATAGCACCAGACTCACACACTTCTCCTGTTTTGGGGCAGACTAATTCCTGGTCAACAGTCTAGACCGCACGCTTTTGGGTGGACTTCTTTTTTGAATGAGCTTTCACAATGAGGACACTAAAGCGGAGGACTGGAAGGCGAAGGACAGGTGAAGGTTGGTGTAGATGAGACAGAAATGGTGCGATGGAGGAGATGAAAAAAAAAAAAAGACAGACGGTGAGATACAGACTGGGGGAGGTGGGTGCAGGTCAGACGGAGGGTTGATGAGATGAGGAAAGGGGGGACGAGTACGTCAGGATGCAGGGTGAAGGACGGGTAAACCACAGGAGGTAAGTGATCTTTATGGACATAGAGGACGCCAAAGGCGGAGATATGAACAGCTAAATGGAGGGGTGAGATAATGATTGGCTTACAAACATGAAATTGCTCACTTAGTGCAAAAAATGTCCAGACGGAATCATATATCATATAAGAGTGTTATAGGACACAGACAGAATACCAAAAGGTCACCATGCACATAAATATAATCAAATATAATCTTATTACGTGTGCACGGTGCTGAGGGAGTGTCCAGGGGAGTCCTGAAGTGGTCCTCCTCACACACACACACCACAGATCCTTCCTCCTCCGCGACACTGTTGGCCGGGCAGGGGAAACACTCCTGCTGCCTGGAAGACATCTTGTAGGATCCCGACGGACACGCTGGAAAAGAGGAAGCACAAATATACGAAACGTCAGATATGACAAAGGAATGTGATTTAACATCGCCTGCTTCCTTTATCTTAACAAGAGAAATCCCTGTTAAAGCCAGAGTTTGAGGAGGAACACATGAATCACACATTGTCTTTCTATAGAGGACCTAATACAAATTCTTAGCTCTTTGAAAGATAACATAAAACCGTCTTATATCATTCATAAGCATCTTGGGTTCTTTGCATGTAAATGCCACTAAGCACATCTGCATTTTTTAAAGCCTGAGGAAAAAAAAAAGAAAAACCCTCTAATCTCCCTTTCAATGCATGAGAGAGAAAATAAAGAATGGAGGAAAAAAATTAAAGTAAGTGAATCCACAGGGAACAGACGGTATAAAAGATAGGATTAGTGGAGAAAAGTAGAGGAGACTAAATCTGACAAACAATTCTCACATTACGTGTGATCAGGGGCCTCGGCAAAATGGCATCAAAGGCTTGTGAAGGATTGAATCAGATCAGAAACGAAAACAAGACGAGGTGAACAAACAACACAACTAAAAAAAAAGCTCAAATTTGATGCTTGTCTATCTGAGGTGTTACGGTACAGGTGCACCCAAAAGAGGAATGCACCTGTACCGCAACACAACAAATAGACAGGCATCACATTTTACGTTAATCTGCTCGTTTCATTGTCAACATCCTTTGTCGCTTACTTAAGTTGAGGTTGTGTGGCTTTTACAATTGTGTCGTTGCTTTTATATTTAAGTTGTGGCGTTTTGCAGTTGTGTTGCGGCTTTTGCGTTCATCTTTTTCCACGCGAGACGTCTTTAAGCGCTTAAACCCAAACTGCTGCACATCAGACTACAAAGGTTGAGAATGTGGACGAGGGTGATAAGCACTCATGACCTTACGTGTGCGGCTCACAAGAATATACACCGTGTAATAGAAGCTTATCAGTACATCTGTGACATTGGGTGGTGGTGCATAAAAACACACTCACAAACACAAACAGAATAAAACAGGTTATTTTACACTCTCCCTCTATGCAGTTTTCATTTTTCCACTCGTCGGGCCTTTGTAGCAGGTGATAATGGCTGTGAAATCAGGCAGCCGGCTGACGCCTATATCTGGCTCGATGCTCCGGTCGCCCCTTCACTGTATTCTTAACAGCAGGTCTACATTAACAGCTCAGGCATGCCCCCCCCCGCCCTCTCATCTCGACTCTATTTCTATCCTCGTAATAAATCTGTCTTATTTGCTCTCCCTTTCTCCCATTCCTCATGGCTTCTCTTTTCATTTCTGCCTCTCGTTCCTCTCTCATCTGCCCATTTCATCGTATCTCCTCGATCGATTTTCACCCTTCCTCATCTTCCTCCACTGAAAATCCAACAGTCCAATGTATCCATGTGTCAAAACTGCAGGATTAATTGACTCAATGAGCTCCTATTTGTTTTGATTGTCAAGTGAAGCCAAAGCGTCTCGATTGCCCCCTGGTGGCTGGCTGATCATAAACTCTGCTTCCTGCATGTTAGTGGATGAAACATGGGCCAAAATAAATTAAAAGCAAAAATAAAGGTTACATAAAGAAGGTTTCTGCCACGTTAAAAAAACCAGGGTGAAGATCATGAATGACAGCTGAGATGATTCGTGATTGGTCGAGGACGTGTATGGGCGGGACATTGATACCTCAGCTTCATCCCCCCGACTACATAGACGGACGTCTGATGGCAAGATGACAGCGTTTGTATACATTCTCGCTTAAAAGCTACAGTTGTTAGCCAGCTTATACGTAGTCTAACTTAATTTAGTTGATAAAGAATGTCAGTGAGTATTTTTCAGTTAGTATGAGGAAATTCTACACATCTCTCCCACCTCTGCTGCTGTGTCACACTTTGACTACGGTCAGTAATAAAGAGAGGAGGCGACGTGGCCACGTGTGAGAACGACAAGACACAGCAGGTGCAGAAACAAACACAATCCTGCAGCGATGGATTACTCATGAACATTCATCGAAACACAAGCACTGTAACGGAGGGGGCCTGTGTTGTCTCACCTATTTAACTCGAACATGCTTGCAAAACACACACACAAACACACACAAAAGGCCCTGCCATCACCCATTGATTAGCAGGCGCCGTCAGCCTCTCCTGGCTCTGACCAAAGTGAGTGCACAACCGTGTGTGTTCTGTGTCCGCGTGCTCATGTACGCCTGCGAGTCGCATATCTGAAGCTGTAAGAATCATGTAATCGACTTTCTAATGTCTGTCATTACACGGAGAAAAGCCTCGAGCTCACAGCACAGCCAAGCATGAGAAACACACACACACACACACACACACACATACACACACCCTGTGAGACGCTCTTTGTTCCTGACCACGCTGCATCTAACCCTCCCTCACCACGCCAACAACATCAAGCACCAACCGAGCCCAAATCAAGGCAAAATTATGCATAGATCTGCGAGAAGAGAAATTGGTTTGCATTTTCTACCTATCATGCTTAAAAGAAAGCTGGCCGCATTCATGCCTGGCTGAAATTCCGACTTATCTCTTCATTTCAGTGTGGACACGCATTTCGCCAGCCCACCTTGGAAATGTGTGTCTAATGATAGGGGTGTATTAAAGACAATATGTGCGGCCCAGATAACAAAAGGAGCTGGCTTTGCACACTGCCCATCATCCTCCACTGCGAGGGATGGTTCGAAAGGGGCCGCCAACAACCAATGCCAGGCAAGGTCACGTCAATCAAAACGGGCTCGCAGCCATCTGCCAATGGGAGAATGTGGAATCTCTAAAATGCCTCCAACTGAGACTATAAAAAAGAAGACGTTTGTAAGTAACCTCGGTCATTAGAAGAGGCGCTTTTCATCCCATCTTCACCCTTTAATTGTGAAGGTATAGGAGTTAGAGTGGAAACAAGAGCATCAGGGAATGAAAGGCAGAGGGGGGGCTGGTTGGGAGGAATATGGAGACAGAAGGAGAGATCTGCCAGGACAGCTGGCAAACCAACTGATCAATTTGTCCTATGTGCCGACAGGGAGTCTCGATTAAACGGAACAGGGCAGCACATGTACACAAACACACACACACACGCACACATATATAGACATATTCCTTCAAGGTGCAGTTATATAGATATGCAGCGACATGCCAAGTCCATTGGAGACAGACAGATGGTGTGAGAGACAGAAAGACAGCAGGCTAACTACTGTACAAAGACAGTACAGGAGAATGGACTCCTCCAGAATGACAGGAAAAACAGACACGCACGGACATGTGATGCATAAGAATGAGACACACTGAAAGAGACGGTGACAGCGAGTGAGACTAAGGTCATCTATAGTGGGAATATACGCAACACAAGCATTGTCGTGCATGTGTACAAGCAGAAAGCCGGAGGGAGGTTGGATAAAATTAGAAAACTTGGTATCAATCTAATCAGATGAGTGACAGTAAAATATTCGACACTGAGATATGCCAGACGTTTCACCGTCTAATGAATAAAAAAAATAAAAAGCCCAAAGAATCTACATTTCAATGAGTTCACAAATTACTTTAATAGACTTCTGCCTTTGTAGAGGGAATCAATTTACGCTTTGCCCTTCTCTCTTTTATTTTCCCTTCCCTTTCTTCCCCTAACCTTAAACATGCCCATTAATAAATCATGAGGCTCTTAATACAATAAATGTGAGCAATGAATTGTCCCTTTGCCGCCGTGACAGTACACATTGATTAATATTAATAACGCTAAAGGAGGTTTGCTTTGGACACTTGCACAGACATGCTTAACCTCGACTGACGAGCAAACACAAACCAACCGAGGTGCACAGATGATGGTGTGATGGGTTTGTGGCTGCAGTTTTTGAATTGTAGTTTGTGTTATGTTTTAGCGAAAGGTTTAAAAGGCAATGGATAGAAAAAAAAGACAAAACGAAGTAGAGGAGAATGTGACATTACTCCAGCAGATGGAAATCAATTATTAATAGAGCTTTAATTCCTCTGCATAATTTCAGAGGGTGGGCAGCTTTAACATCCACAAAATGATTTTCCATTACCGTCGAACACACACAGACACACACACACACACACCTGGGTCCTCCAGGTCACACAGGTAGGCGTGTTGGACAGAAATGACTGATGGGTACATTTAAGTGTTTCAGGTTGGGTCAGATTATAAAACTGTGAAACGATGAGGAGGTTGTGGAACCAAGATAACTTTGACGGAATAAGACCACTTGGAATTGGGCTTAACTGAATGGTAATGGTCCTTAAAAGCCAGTAGTGAATAATAAGACTCTGGTTGAAGAGCAGTGGATTTGAACCAAACTGAACCAGAGTTAAAAGTACTTGAGAATAGCTGGAGCTTAGAGAAATGGGCTTTGGGCAACTGGTAAACGGATTGCTGCTGTACTGCAGTGGTCAAATATACTATTCCTTCAGACTGCACCATAAAAAAAAAACCCCACAGGTTTTTTTTGCACAAGCAGTTTATCAAAAGCCATGTTTCCCTTTTATTGTTAAGAAACATCTCATACTCCGGAGATTTCTTCTCTGCAAATGCCCCGAAACAACATGTCCTCTGGTGGCCATAGTAAATATGACAGGAGCAAAGAAGGAGGTAAGGTGATGATGTGATAAAGGGACAAATTCTGGGAGGACGTAGGGATGAATAGTCGACAACAAATGTCCAAGACTTTCTTTTAAAGGTTCAGTATGTAGAAAGTAGTGACATCTAGTGGTGAAGTGTCATGTTGCAGCTGACCACCCCTCACTCTCCCCTTCCAAACATGAAAGCTCTGGTAGCCTTCAGGTGTCCGAAAAAACTCAAAAGGTGTTTAGTTTGTCCAGTTTGGGTGAGCGACTTCTTTTTAATGTTTGTTTCTGACATCTGATATAAAGGCTTTTGAATATTCCTCAGCAAAATGATGCATTCAACCTGCTTTCAGAATTATTTTAAATCAACGTTGCTCATAAACTAAAAAATGCTGCATCTCTAATTAATGT